AGTTGATAGCTTATAAGTAAATTTCAAGCTTATAGCTGATAGCTTATGGCTTATGTCTATGAAGCTAGTTGATACGATAAAAGTGTTCAATAAAATTACTTGATATGTCAGTTGAAATAAAAATTCAAATGGATATTTGAAAAGTTACCCAATAAAGCTTATGAAACAAGATTGAGCTTTTTGAAAAAGCTCGTCCAATCAAACTAAGTTTATTTGTATACAAAAAACTTATAAGCTAACCAAATAAGCTATAAGCTAGTTTATAGTGCTTACCAAATACGCTCTAAGACTATTTTTGGTAAAATTAGTTGATAGCTAATAAGCTAGCTTATAGTTTATAAGGGATTTCGAACTTATAGGTTATAACTTATGACTGAAAAAACTAGTTTATATGATAAAAGTATTTGATAAAATTAGCTGATAAGCTAGCTGAAATAAAATTTTCAACGGGCTTATTTGATAAGCTACCCAAAGAAGCTTATGAGATAAGGTCGAGCTTGTTTAAAAAGCTCATCCTACCAAACGAAACTTATTTAAAAACATGAAACTTATAAGTTAACCAAAATAAGCTATAAGCTAGCGTATTTGGTTACCAAACATAGCTTAAGTATCCACCTGTCAGGCTTCTACATTAGTTTTTAGCTTTGCATAAATCGACAGAAAGTTGAAAGTTGCTGACTCTCACATCAAACTCTTCATCTTTCTCCGCATATCCCAGATCCATGATCTTCTTGTCAAATTCTATGCACCGTTGTGTTTTTGTTATCGGGTTGTAATCGGTCGGTGTTGTCGACATAGGCTTTACACTCGCGCATATGCCAACCGTTGATCAGAGCGTCTCATCCGTGGCTCCACGCTTTGCGGCTTGATCGGGGACTTGGAGTCAGTTGTCGGAAGTTTTCTTGTAGAGCCCCATTTGACGCGCTGGTACCCGACCACCTGAAGCCCGATTGAAACAACATAGGGTTCAACAACGACATTTCTGGTTTTAGGTCTGAGCTTAACGGAGGGTTCAAGGTTAGGTACTACTTTTTCGGATCTAGGCTTAACAACAGGTTCAACAAGGGGATATACTTCCGTCTTCTGTTGTCGGGATTTTTAAGTCCGATGAAGGGCTTATCAGATTGTATCTGTTTTTTTTTTTATTACAAAAACACTGGACAAACCCGATAGTCGCCAAGATTGTTGAAATTAGATTATTAAAAATTAGTAATTTTATTACCTAAAAGTACCCTACATTTTTTTAAAATTAAGTATCAGCGTATAATGTTTGTCACAATTTTTCAATTTTACCATAACTTATTTAGAAAATTAGATAATATATTATAATAAGGTATGGGTAATGGAAGAAAAATAGAAGTATTTTGTGATTATTATAAACCAGTAATGTTTGAATATATTAAATTTACATGTTCCTTAATTATATATAGAAACTATACAATGACAATTATTTTATAGCAGGTGAAATACACATATAAATTATATATTAAACTGTTATACATCATAAAAAAATAATAATAAAAATTAATATTCAAGCTTCTTGTGTTGTAGAAAACCTCATCTTTAGCGCCTAGGCTCGCCACTCTCTTCTTTGCCAAATCTGCATCCCCTTCATCTCCTTTTCTTCTTCTCCGACAAGAAGCGACTCGCAGTGGGGTGGCGATGCGAGCTGACCTTCCTCGTTCCCTTCCAACGTGGCGCTTCTCCAAGCTTCTGGTGGCCATGGCAGGTCCTGTGGGGTTCTGACAGCGGGGCGGAGTGTCCGTCATTTCCAACTTTGTCCACCGCCTCGGTGGTGGTCGGGCCCGATACTAGTGATAGGGCACTCCCCTGGATCCAAGTCTTCTATGGTACTGGGATGGACGGGTCGGACGATGGGGTTGTGGTCCCTTTGGTGGTTTTGACATCCATGGTTGGTTTGGTGCGGGGGCGGTTTTGATTGATCGTTGATGGTCTCTCGGTGCAGTTCAGGGGTGGTTCCTTTGGATGGGGTTGTTGCTTATTTTGGCCCAGTCTAGTTAGTCATTTGTTGGAGTTTCTAAATCTTTTGCTAGAACAGCGGGTTTGTCTTTCGTGGGAGCTTCCTGCAGTTGTTGTCTTTTTGGTGAAGATATGATTTCAACAGTAAAAAATCAACCAAAACTCAAATTTAACTCAACTTTAACACAATTCCACTATCTCCAATATAATTATATAACATCAAACAATCATTCTTACACATCACATCAACTTTAATTCACTATTCATCTACTCACATAATTTTAACCAACCATCATTTCCAATCATTTTTATCCTACTTTACATCCAATCAACTTTAATTATTTTATTTAAATATTATTTTAATATATCCACAAACAACTAATCATACTATCTTTTTTTCAAAATTAACTATAATTATAAAAATAAACCAAATAAAAACTATTTTAATCCATAAACAATCACACATGAAGGGTAGGAAGAGCTTTATTCTAGTTTAGTATTTGGTTTGGTGTTTTAATGTTTGTATTTGGTGTAATGTGTTTTGTTGTCGTTTTCATTCTCCCTTTTGGGAGCTTGGATTCTGCACTTGTGTGAGTTGTATAGTTTGTTATATTTATGGGTGCGTTAGCGTAGTCTATTATAAGCTGGCTTTGTGTAGTTCTACCTCTAAATTCAGTCGTGTGGCTGCTTGACTATTTATTGTTGTTGTCTAGATATAAATATATGTTTTTTATATAAATTTCTATCCTTTGGACAAAAAAAAATATTATTACAATTATCGATTCACTGGTTTAATTTATACAAGTTATTATCATTGTCATGTATATCGCACGGGCTACGCACTAATACTTCATACAAAAGTTATGAATATTGATCAAATGACAAGTCATTTTTTTATATAGATTTTTTAATGTAAATTAAATGAAGCATGCAATCTTGTATCCATTTATAATAAATATATTATATTCAGTATAATAAATATATTATATTCTTGTAATCCTCTATTTTATTAATAAATATAAATTTAATATTGTGAATATATTTATTATAATAAATATATTATATTCTTTTATCCTATATTTTATAATAAATATAAATTTAATATTGCAAATATATTCCATATATTAGATTAATAAATATAAACTTAATATCGCTTAACTGTGCTAAAAATATAAAAATATGCTAAAAAATGCCAACTTTTCACACTTTGCAAAAATACCACATTTTCTCCTAATAATATTCATTGTTGCCTTTTTGCACCATCTGAGCTGAAAAACTCATTCTCAAATTCATTTTGTATTAAATGTCGCATCAAACAGTAATTTGTCTCCAACTGAAAAACTCATTCTCAAACCCAACAGAACATTTGCTTTTATACTAGCCACATATTTTACAACCTTATAAATTAAATCATACTATAATTTTATATTTAATTTGGAATTTATGTAATTAATTAATTATAAAGTTATAATCTCATACAAAATAAAACCAAAAAAGTAAATATTCATTAAAAAATAAAATAACAACGTACAAGATGAAAAATAAAAGTACAGTGAGATGAACATAGAATAATTAATCTTACAAGTAAAAATAGATAGTCTTTCAAGTCTCAGAATTTGTGAATTCCTCCCACAAATGATCAATTAGTGCAAACCGAAGTGCAATGTGGCCATCTTTATTACATTTTTTTTTATGTACCTTTATTTAGTACCTTTATCTATTGACATTACAACCTCCGACAGTGTGTTCCATCTCAATTTAAATTAGTACACTTAGGTCATGTTCATCCTCGACAATCATGTTATGCAAAATTATAAATGTGGTTATTATATCATGTAGCACTTTTTTTTTCAACAACATAGTGGTCTTGCTACAATGTCAAAACGTGATTGAAGACCTCTACAAGCAAGTTCAACGTCTTTTTTGCATGTTTCTTGTTTCATCGCAAAATATCTTTTATTCGGACCACGTGGCTCAAGAATTGTTTGCACAATGGTAGAAAATATGCAAGATGGTGGGAAAGGACCGCTACGTCGAACTATATGAGCTAGATTAAGAAATGTTGGAACTATGCGTCTTACTAAATATTTGACCTCGTGTTCGGACTCCAAAAAAAAATCAGTGCAATATTTGGATATCATATATTAGCTAAATAATAATGTATGTTGTACTCTTTTCCTTGAATTATATAATGAGCTGAAGGAGCAATATATTGGGTTAGATTCGATAAAAGATGATATTATTCTAGTACATTGATATTGTTGTTAGAGCCAGACAAACTGAAATAAGCATGCCATATCCATAGACTATAACCTGCTAAAGCTTCAAGAGTGATTGTAGACATTCACTACGACTAGCATATTGCATGGTCCGAGCTGTAGGGAAAATTTTCTACCTCAAATGCACACAATCTAAACTCCCAAACATTCCTGAGAAACCATGTCACTGACCAATATATAGAAGTCTAGAAATATCATTAGTTGCGGGATTCCGCAGACGTTGCTCGCTAAATACCTCAACTATAGCTCGACAAAACAGTTTTCATACCTTCAATTGTAGTAAATTCACCAATTTTGACATACTCGTCTGTAGCATTTACGGGAACACCTTATGCACCCATATAAAGACAACATTCAGCTCTATCCATTCATTGATTGAAGTAATAATCATGATCTTTGACTGCATCGACAATTCGAATGAACGAGCGAGACAGTCAATATCTTCTGCGAAATATGGTATCGTTGTACAATGGATTATATGAAAAATAATCATTGTACAACCTACGATCAGTAGCCTCTCGACAATTGATAAAATTGTGCTCAAGAACATAACTTTCATGGGAAATTTGGTAGTTTTGTTGATGAATGATCATGTTGTTATTAACGATAACACGAGTAACCACTTCACGTTTTTTACAAAGAGTATTAAAATTAGCATATTATTATAATTATCATCAGATGAGAGAGATGGCGAATTTCCAAAATTAAAATTCATTAAAGAGATTAGAAATGTGGGATAAGAGAAATATGATAAGTGTTTGAAGAGATTGAGATGTGTGATAATGAGTATATTTTATATTTTTATAGTAGTGCATTTGATAGTGTAGGAACCTTTGCAGTGAGTGGTCATTTTCGGGTCAAAGAATTGAGAGACATGAGTGTCTTTGCAGCGAGAGGTCATTTTTGGGTCATAACATGGAGAAGTGTGAGTATATTTGCAGAGAGTGGTCGGGTCAAAACATTGAGAGACGTGACGGGAGGTCATTTTCGGGTCAGAACATGGAGAAGTGTGAGAACTATTGAAGAGAATGATCATTTTCGAATCAAGACATTGAGAAATGTGAGAACCTTTGCAGAGAGTGATCATTTTCAGGTCAAAATATTTAGAGATGTTAGGGTATTTGCAGTAAGAAGTTATTTTCAAGTCAGAACATGGAGAAGTGTGAGAACCTTTGCAGATAGTGATCATTTTCGTGTCAGAACATTAAGAAGTGTGAGTACTCTTGTAGAGAGTGGTCATTTCTGGGTCAAAACATAGAGAAGTGTGAGAACTTTGCAGTGAGTGGTCATTTTCGTGTCAAAATATGGAGATGTGTGTGAACCTTTGCACTGAATGGTCATTTTCGGGTTAGAAACATAGAGAGGGGTGAAATTATTCACTATAAAAGAGAATATAGTATTGTAGTGGCTATACCCCAACATTTCATTCTATACACTAAACCTTTATCACTTCTAACTTATTGTAAGAATGTTGATCTATTCATCTTTCTATAACCACGATGAAGATATACTTTTATGTCGGGTTTATATGGAAATTTCTCAGGACCAATTATTAGAGTGTACCAATCATCTCATCGATTTGTGTCACATATAGAAATAACTTTCAACGAAGAAAAATTTGAGCAGTGGGGGTTCATACCAATAGATCTTAAAACCACGAATCAAAACAATCGAGAAAGCAACAAAGAGACCCCACGCATGCATAAAAATTGCAACAAATATGTATCAGCGTGGTGCCTTAAGTGAAGATACGATGCGTATTAAAATCTAATTATATTTTTATGTTTTCAAATTTTTTATTTATATTTTCTATGTTTAATTATTTTTATAAATCTTGTAGATGCTTAAAGCAAAAGTGTTCGCACAATATCCCAAATTCAAATCCGCGTGGAAATACGATCACGTTAAGGATATTATTATGAATTTTGAAAAATTTAAAGATGTGCTAGAAGAAGTAAGAAAACACATACGGTCATTATATCTCTTCGGAGTTATAAAACCCGACTTCTGAGTCTACCAGCGAAGTATCCCTGGGTGTATCTTCATTTTCTCTAAACTTAAACGACTCAGATGATTTTTCAATTGAAAGACCTATCGGGGTGAAGAAAGCCAAAATAAAAAGAAAGATAAATGATGATTCACTATCGAATACCAATAATCATCAAAACAAATCCCACGCTCTGAAAGAAATGAGGGAAGAAAATAAAAATTTATTTCAAGATCTCAATTCCATAAAAGATCTTAGAGTTCGAGCATGTATTGAAGGTGAAAAGACACGAGTGCCAAATTGTCAGATTACTAAGTTTTCGTGCTTGTTTTTAGTTTTTTGAATTATGAATGCATTTTTGTATTTAATATTGTTTGATGTTGTAGTTCGTTTTCACCACTAATTATTCATATATATATACATATATATATATATATTCATGATCTATATCATGTTTTAATCTTATTTCAATCTATATTAGTGATGTTTTTCAAAGTTAGTATTTTTTTTTATTGTATAACTATCATTGTGAAATATATAAAATTAAATGATGTATATGATATTCATTATTTTAAACATTGTAAAAAATATTACCAATATTACTGTAAAAAATATAAAATTAGTGTATATTTACAAAGTTATTGTAAAAAAATATAAAATAATACGATATTCATTATTTAATATAGTATAATCTACTTTACATGAAATTAAAAATAAAAGAGAATTTATAAGATCTTCTTAGTATTTTACAAGTAAAAAACTCAAGAGAAATTAAAAAAAAAAATACCAAATCCATTTTATCAATTTATAAAAGATAAGGGATTAAATTGCAAAAGAAAAAAAGTTTGGGACAAAACTTGCATTTTGAGGAGAGAAAACCTGCCAAACGAATTTTGCGATTTCAAAATGCCGATTGGTTGGAGAGAATGGTAGTGCAAATTTTGCGGGTCTTAGTCATGTTTTGGGGCTTTTGGCCATAAAAGATTGTGATAATTTTTGCTTAATACATAAAAAGTAGCATTTTTAAATTCCACACCGAGAAGTACTTGGAACTTGACTAGAGAAGCTTGAGGACAGATGACAATCTCCATAATAATCAGCAAAACAACAACAATATCCTTGGGACAACAAAACATTTAAAAAAACAAACTGAAGACAAATTGAAAGCAAGAGCAACAAATTCTGACCAAATCCCCACTCCTCCTTCACTTGTCTGCTTTGGCAGCAGTGGCGGCAGCCTGACCACGAAGACGACCTGTCCTCCTGGCGGCAATGAGACCCACCTTCTGCCCTGGCGGGGCATCACGGCGGACAGTGCTGGCATGGCCGATGTGCTGGTGGTTACCACCACCATGAGGATGCTCAACAGGGTTCATAGCCACACCACGCACCTTGGGCCACGAGTTCCTCTTCACTCTGAACTTGTGGTAGGCATTTCCAGCTTTCAGCATCGGCTTCTCAGTACGCCCACCGCCGGCAACTTGGCCAACCATGGCACGGCACCCGCTGGGCACAATTTTCTTTGCTCCTGATGGGAGCTTCACCCTGCAGGCAAACCAACAATGTATATCACCACTACTCCTAACATATTTGCTGCTTGCTACAAGCACATGTAACTCATAATCAAATCCTTGAATTTTGAATCTACAAATGAAAATCAAATGGTGCATCACTTGTTTGTTCTATAAATGTCACCACATATCAACTTTATATCCTCAACAGACACCAAAGAATAAGACAAGCCATGGTCATATGCCATCAACATTATGAAAACGATTTAGTTATACCTAGCCAAATACATGAATAGCTTAGAGTTAAAAGTTAATTATACAAGTCACTGAATAACATTTCAGCTAACGATTCTATCTCAAATTGTTAATGACTGGAACTGATCACATTGAAGAATCTCTGAAAAAAATAATTTATGCCAAAATAACTTACTTCTTGGACAAAAACTAACTGAAGAACACAGAAAGATGTATCGACAATAAAGGACTCGTATAAGGTAATCATAGTTTATTCCTGTAAAAAATTAGGTCACAAAGACAACGTAGCTACCAAAATGTTACACAGCAAATGACCAAACCGATAAGTAGCTCTGCGCATATTAAGCATGGGCACTGCACTGTGCTCAATTCAAAAACGCAAGCGCACACAAACAAATAAATAAACAGCAAAATTAAAGTGGAAAACACAAACATATCCACAACAAAGAACAATACATGAATCAGATAATATCGATTTCAGCTCCAAAGAATTTCAATTAAATCAATTGACATAACTACAGATAGATTACCTAGTAGTGTCATTATCGGGGTTGTGGGAGATAACAATGGCGTAATCCCCAGAAGCCCTGGCGAAAACTCCACGGTCACCCACATGATGCTCGACGTTGCAGACGACGGCACCCTCGGGGATAGATCTGAGCGGCAGGACATTTCCAACGACTAAATTTGCCTTCTTGCCACAGTAGACGAACTGGCCGGTGTACATGCCCTCGGCGGCGACAAAGAGCTCCTTTTGATGCTGAAAACGGAAAGGGTGGCGGAAAACGACGCGGGCAAGCGGCGCTCCACGGCCGGGGTCGTGGATGATCTCGGAGACGACGCCCTTGAGGTAACCGTTGCGCTCGCCAAAGTCGAGGGAACGGAATCGAGCCGGGCCCTTGCGGTGGTGGGTGTGGGACTTGAAAACGGACCCAGCTCCCTTACGCTGTGCACGGATTACACGACCCATCGCGGAGGGTGCTGTGTGTGAGAGTGTGTGAATGTACTATGGGGACGGCGCACCGGTATGTATGTTGAAATGGTGGAGGCATTGAAACTAGGGTTTTATAAAGTTTAATAATATCGCCTTTCAGTTTTTGGGCTATGGCCCAAATTAAAAAAACTGATCAAAGCCCAAAGGGGAAGAGGAAGTAGAGGATGCAATTTCCTCAAAGACTATTAACGACTTTAGAGAAATTTACTCCCATTATTAATATTTTGTTAAATAATATTAAGAATATGAAATCAGTAACTTATATGCATAATTATGATTTTTAATTAATTAAGGGAAGTAAGATATATGTTAGGCCGGTTTTTCAACAGTTTTAAAATACCAAAACACCTATCCACGAGACACAATTAAGGGGAGCTAATTTTAAGCATAATTCTCAGGAATCAGGATACATCTCCACGAAAAAAAGCCCAACTGACGACGACTCTAAAAACCTCTAAAATCGTCATGGGTACGCGCGACGAATATTCTCCTGGCGAGAATATCCGACGACATCGAGATTATTCGACTGCAATTGTGTGCACAATATATGTGTTCTGTCAATTGCCTCAATATTTTAGAAACATCTAGATCATGTTCATCTGATGTATATATACAATACATATATTCCATCAATTGCCTCAATAATACTGCCAGATCAAGTTTATAATATGTATACATACAGTATAACTGAACATATTTCAGCATGGTATGTGTAGCATGTTCGCCGAATCCTCAGTAAAAACCATCACCTTTCGAATCTATCCGTGCCATTTTCAAACATCTTATTACTGCTAAATCACACACAGACGGTGGAAAGGACATTGACATGATGCTTCCAACAGATCCAAGTGTTCTAGAGTTGTTTATCTCAAGTTTATCTTTCGTATACTTTTCTGTTTTCAGCATAGTATTGCAACACGTTCCACGAATCCTTTGCAAAATCCATCACCTCCCGAATCTTCATGTGCCGTTTTGTTTTTTCGACTGCAATATTGTCTTCAAATCGAGATCCCATTTTTATTTGAAATCTCGTATTCGTTGCATCTAGTTCGAAATAATTAAATGCATGATTTTTAATTGGAGAGAAATAACAAACTCTGTAGAGAGATAAGATATTAATTGGATAGAGAAGCAAATTATGTGGAGAGATAAGATATCTCGTAATAGTGAAAAAAAAATAGGTCCAACAAATCCTCAATTGATAAAAGTTTATCCAGATCGTACATATGCAAATAACTCTTATATACAGTACATGTATGTAAATTTTCCACGAATCTAGGCTAATTTGATGTTTTGAAACAAATATTATTTTTTTAAATAAATATTTATTTTTTGCAGTAGTTGAATATTTATTCTTTCTTTTTGTCGTAAGAAAAAAAAAATCCCCTTTTTGGTCGTGGCCCCGCTTTCTTCCGCCTGAGATCTGCAGTAACCTAGTCGCATCCCTCGAATCCAGCCATGGCCGAGATAAGAGACGCTCTTCCCGCCGCGTGTTGCCCTTCGGTGGGCGAGGGTCCACGCAGACTCTTGTCGTGTCGCCCTTCCGGTCAGGTTTAGGCCGCCTATTTTCCATTTCGTGTCCCATCTTGGGTCGGTCGGAGGTCGACCGCTTGGCCTGTCGTTCCTCAGATCCCTCTAGGTAGGCGGCTCATGGTCCGAGTGCTTGATTTTGGGACCTCTTCGGGCCTCTTGTTCCCCCGTTTGGCATCTTCGAGAGCCTAGATCTGGGCTGAGGTGCTTTCTAGCCATTGTTCGAGTAGGAGTTTTCAGTGTTGGGGTCGATTTTTGTTGCTTTTGTGGTGCTGCTCGTGGGGTTGGTTTCTTGCAGGTTTGGCTTATGTGTTAGGCTGGAATTTCGTTGTAGTTTTTTCGCGTGGATTAGTGGAGGTAGTATTTTTAGTTATTATAGGTGTGTGTTTTGTTAGTTTTTGTGTTATTCTCCTTGTTGGAGTTAGCTATTCTCCTTGTTGGAGTTAGCTATTCTCCCATGTGGGATTGCTAGGTTTTGTTTTTGCTGGGATGGGGTTCTCAGCTAGCCGGGTTCAACTCTAGAAAACGCTATCGGGGTGCATGGACCTTATTCACGTGGTTTATGTTGTTTGTCTAGGGTGCTCTGTCGGCATACCTCATGAATCCACCTTCTTGGTGGATTCTTTGGGCTAGTTAGGCCCCCGAGTCACTCATTGTGAATTCACCTTTTGAGGTATATAATCTATCGTTTCGATAAAAAAAAAAAGAAAGTAAGAATATTTATTTTATACTTGAAGGACATATTTATCTTTTAATAAGTGATCATTTTTTTTTTTTAAAATCGGATGATGGTTTCAATTTTATAGGTCGTTTTTAAAATTTTTTTTAAAGGGTCAAGTTTTTTCAAGTCTCTTCTTTATTAGGGGTTGCATGGATATAAGTTGTTGATTTGATATTTTGGTTTTGATTGATTTTTTTAACCATAATTAATTTTCCAAAAAGTTGATAAAGTTAGGTTTGAATGTAAGTTTGGATTTGTATTAAAATAATATATTAAATTAAAATAATTAAAGTTGATTTGATGTAAATGTATGAGATATGTGATTGGAAGCGATGAGTAGTTAAAATTATATGAGCGGATGAATAGTTAATTAAAGTTGATACGATGTGTGAGGATGATTGATTGGTATTATATAATTATTTTCATACTATTGAAGAGAGTAAGGATGAATTAAATTTGAGTTAGATTTTGAGTTAAAAAAGTGATAGAAAATTGATTGAAATTTCCATTTTAAACATCCTCTTAGTTTTTAATTCTTCATACACATTATAATACATTGGGTGCTCTTCTTTGTCGTGCTCGTGCATAAAGACGATTTTTTTTCAAGATCGTCCCCCAAATCCTCTTCCATTTAATTGGTGTTTTTTAGCATGGAAAATGAAATCGTGGGCTCACTGGAACTTGAGTAGGATGACATCACTCATGTCGTCACTTAGCAGGGGCACCCCCAAATCAATACTTGTTCGGGCTGGTTAGCGTGTTCGGAGGTGGACCTGCTGCTAAAGACGTCATTTTTAAACGATTCTTGAACTAGGAGAAAGCAATCTGGTGATGCAATGTCTTGGGGAACTGAAGGAGGAGAGAACGTTACCGCAATTTTTGGAGGTTTTGGATAAGTTGTGTGTTTTGTGGTATGAGAATGAGGATGGGGATGATGAGGTGGAAGACGATCAGGGTTCTTATCTCATTCTCATTTTCATTTCATTTTTCTTTTTACCCAATTGTGTTCCGTATTATTATTATTTCAGTTATGTTCAGATTATTTTGATTTTTTTTTTTTTATGTTTTTTAAGGTTATTCATTAGTTTTTTTTTTAAGTTGATTGGTTGTATTTGTTTTGAGATGGAGGTCTTGCGTAATATTTTTATTTGTTGTGTTATTGTAGGTTTCTGTCAAGTTATCATTATTCTATTTTGTGCTGATTTTTACAGTTTTTGTGCCATTTGTGTTGTTTTTTTATTTATTTTCAGGAGGAAAATGTTATGAGAGCTGGGATGATTTTCAAAGAAGTTTGTCTGAGGAGTTAAGGATGGATATCCACAAGTTTTCATGCAAGGCCCCTCCGATTACCAACCTAGGTAGTTTTACTTTTTTTGTTTTTGCTTTTTCTAACTCATTTTTGCAATCTAGACCTGTCACTAATATTTTATGATTTCTTCATGTAGATTTTTTCTTCAACTTGTTTGCTGCTGAGGCGACCACAAGCGATAATGAGGTCAAGTATACGACCAAGTAATTGACCCCCTTCCAGGTATAGTAGCTCAAGCCATTGGGCTAGAAAGATCTTATTGGTCGCAAAATGTGTATGTTTTACATATTTATTAGAGCATTTTTATATGCTTAATTTTGTCGCACATATATGTTTTTCGACTTATTTATTTATTAGATGTATTCAAGTGCTATGAAAATTAACCAAAAATATATCATAGCACTTGCATATAACTAATATATAAATAAGAAAAAAAAAAACATATAAGTGCGACAAAATTAAGCATATAAAAACATGTTAATAAATATATAAAGCATACATATTTTTTGACCAATCAGGATCCGACCGCTGAGCCCCCTAAGCAACACGACAATGGCAACTCGAAGTGTAGCACTCTAAAACGAAAAGGAGAAAAATCTTAAAACATAAAAGGGTGAAGGAGAAGGAACGCGCTACGGGCATCCTCGAATAGCTCAGACATTTTGCCTCGAGTAAAGACGTTGGGGCTTAATATGCCTACCTCATCTCCATTTTTCCCAAAGGAGAAACTGAGTGTTGGTCGGAAAACAAGGTGGCCCGAGATGGTTATGCGACCAACCACCTCGTCCAGGTATGCCGATACTTCTCTTATCCTGCTCTCTACGACACTCCTACCTGCATCAAGAACTGAAGTCACTTCTCTTGTCTTTGTCTTGCAGGCATTGTCTAGCCTAACTCTTATCTCAGCGAAGCCCTGACTGGCGAGTCTTACGAGGTCACCAAATTGAAGGAGAAGCTCGAGGACATTGAGGCCGCTAACATCAGTCTGCGAGCTGTGACCAATCACTATAAAAGTGAAGTCACTCGTTTGACTTGTGAAACTATCGATCTGAAGGACAAGTATGGTAAGTTGAAGGTCGTGATGGATGAACGGTTCGAGCGAACTTGTAAGGATGGCTAAGATTCTTTCATATCGTCCTCCCCGTAGTTGAGTTCCTAGAGCACTATCTATTCAAGCTGATGAAATGCTTCATGGACTCTAGCGAGTTCTTCAGATGGATCTTCTCTGCAGCTAATCGATACTTAATGATTGCGACCAAGTGTACTCGAGCTCAAGCCATGTCTAGGGGAATAAACCACATAATATCTCTACGAATAAATCAAACAAATTCTCCACGAATAAATCAAATAATATCTTTATGAATAAATCAAATAATTTCTCCATGAATAAATCAAATAATTATATAATTTTCACCAATTTAAAAATCCTCCGGTCTCAAAATTAAAATTAGCCACATACCTCCGTCATTAGAATACTATCTCAAATTACCTCACTGTTCATGTAGTATTATTCCGGACTCAATGTGGGCTCATCATTTGCTTTGAATCGTCCCGAAATAGCCTTGGGTTCGAACCGGGGCTACTGGACCAAGCTGGGCCGGTTCGGACTGCTTTTGGACCATCTGGACTGGTCTAAGCTTGAGCATGAAATTGGCCATTCTGGAGGAATCTCGGCCGCTGTCGAGCTTGTTGACCGTGGAGAGCGATTTGGGCTGCGCGCAAATGGGCTGGGAAGACAGGCTGCTCGCAGGCTGAAGCGCGGACTTCGCGGGCTACATCTATTAGATATACGGATTGGACGCCGGCTGAAGCGCAGGCAGAACACTGTGCGTGACATGGGCCACGCGGGCTGGGACCGGCCTGCGTGTTTTTTTGGTCCCCTTTTGGGTTGGCATGAACTGGGCCACTTCACGGTTATGCCTCGCCGTTGATGGGCCTTGTCATTGCTAGGCTGTATACGTTGGCCTCCTCTGGGCTTAGGGGAGCAGGCTCGTGCTGAGATCTGTAACTAATGGTTACGGCTCGCTAGAAAATTCCTTAAGAGAAAAATAAATCGTCGGCTCTGGCGAAGATGGCCGACCAAGGATGCGCGTCGATGAGGAGATTCCAAAGATGCCGTCGGTTCGAAGTAAGTAGCCGAAAATCGCCGGGAAATCCAGGAAGAAGGCTGGAGTTGACCACCCATTTTCTAAATCTTGAAGGTTTGAACGATGAAATTGGCAGTCTTTCTAGTGGAATTTTTCGCTTGAAATTTAGAAGTAGAACGGGCACAAGAAGAGCTTCGCGATGATGTAAAAATATTTTTGATCAGAGGACTTTGGCCGGTGGCTAGTGAAGGCCATGTACTGTAGACTCGCTTCGACGAGAGGATCCCAAAGCTGCTCCCGGGTATGATATAGCCCCCACAGATCGTCGGAAAAATGCATATGAGTACCGAAAGTTGAACAAAATTCACTAGATATGGAATGTTTGACCGACAAAATTGAAGACTTTTTTGGAGGAATTTTCGAATGACATTTTAAGGAAAGATTCACCTCGAGGAGATCTACCCGATGAAGCAAAAAAAATTTCTCGGAGCACTTTGGTCGGCGGCCGACGGCGACGGACGGTGAAGGTGAAGGAGCTTGCGGGAAATTTTTTGGAAATTTTCAATCAGAACGCCGTTTGCCACGATCAATTTTTGGCTTTTTGAACGGTTCCCACAGACGGCACCAATTGTAGTGAAAGGGATTTCACCCGGGCTCCTTCAACTCGGACGACCTCTGTACGTGCAAGAACCAAACGCCGGGAGGGGTCCCGGCGTCGGGCCTCCGATGCTTAAGTCAATATCACTGCAAACTCAATTCTCAAGAATATAGTAATCAATGTAAAGAGAGTGTGTTTTTGAGATACTTCAGCCTTATTTTATAGGAGGAGTGTACCTTAGGGCCCAATTTGGGCTTGACCAATACCCTTATTCCACGTGTCCTAGCCCATGTGTAGACTTATTCTCCAATATATCTCTTTTTATCCACTAAAATCGATCTAGCATAATATCCCATATCCCATTTCATTAGGAAGTGTTCCGCATGAACTCTGCCAGTGAAAATGAATCTGAGGAAAAGAGCGGTGAAGATAGATTCCACCTACCATACATGTGGGGAAAATATTGAAACCATTGAACATGTTTTTTATTTCAATGTAACAGGGCAAAACAAGCTTAGGCAATGGGACCTGTCAATTGGGATGGGATCAATTCCTCAAATGGATCTTTCAAATCACGGTGGTGGTAAGTACGTTTGATTGATAAGTCTGAGATAGCCGAGGTAAAGATACAACTGACAATATATATACTGTGGTGACTATGGAAATCTTGGAAGGCTCTTTCAACAGGAGAGGATTCCAATCCATAAGATGCTGAAGATTGCTATGAGTGAATGGAAGGATTTACTGCAGAGGCAGTGAGCTTTAGCTGTGTTTATGTTTTCTGTTGCTGTGGTTTTTGTTGCTAGATTTTCTTTTCTTTCTTTGGTAGTTTTGGTAAGATCACTGGCTAGGTCTTGAGATAGTGGTTTGTGGTCTTATCATGGTTGTTTTGAGTTTTATTCTTTGTGGAGGACTATGGATTATGTGGTATCCTGCCTTAACTTCTGCGAAAATGTTTAGACCTCCTTTGGATTTTTCTCCCTTGTTGTCGTTTTTTAGTTTGTGATTGTGGGCGGGTGCCTGTTGTATTTGAACTTTGTTCCGATTTGGTTTTAATATATTTCTCCTATCGTTCTCAAAAAAAAAAAAAAAAAAATTTATAGGGACGAGCCGAGCTTCAGCTCATGCTGCTCGAGCTCGGGCCCTTAACGAGCCGAGCTTGGCTCGGCCCGTTAACTTAATGAGCTTATAATCGAGTTCGAGCTTAGCTCAATTATCAATATTAACTAGCCAAAATCAAGTCGGACTACAAAAAAATAGATAAAAAATCATCTTTTCGAGTCTTAACGAGCCGCATTCGGCTCGTTTATCAAAGGAGCCGAGCTGACGAGTGGCTCGTATAATTAGCAACTCTATATATTTATGTGGTAAATATGATAAATTATAATATAATTAAGCCTTTAGGGTATAAAATTTATATATAGATAATTTATTTTCTTATATAAATAATTAATTTTTTTACTTTTTTTGTTATAAGATAAAAATAATATAAATATAATTTAAAACTTCATAAAAATTAATTACTTAGTTCAATAATTAATCCGGTGACCTGACGTTCGAAGCGTGACCCGGTGACTCGAAGTCCAGCCCGAATCAATTGTCAGTTCGAGTTTTAAAACTATGTATGCTATGTTTGGTATAACAAGCTGATAAACTAGTTGATAGTCGATAAGTTAGCTTGTAGCTTATCAGTATTTTTTGAGCTTATAGCTTAGAGCTTTTGACTTATAGATGAAAAGCTAACTTATATGATAAAGATGTTTGGTAAAATTAGCTAATAAGCTAGCTGAAAAAATATTTCAACTAGCTTATTTGTATTATGAGATAAACTCGAGTTTTTTAAAAATCTCACCTTACCAACCGAAACTTATTTAAATTCAGGAAGCTTATAAGCTAACCAAATAAGCTATAAGCTAGCTTATTTGTCTACAAAATATAGCCGTAAAATATGACAAATTATTAACGTAATCAACCTGAAACACAAGGTGAGACCCCTCAAAGCCTTGGAGAAAAACAAATATCTCTTTTTCTACAAAATTTTTACTGTGCAAAATCCCCAAAGCTAAAAGTTTCATAAACCCTCCTTCCATACGCCTCCTCTCTAAAACCAAGCTCCCTGGTCCTCCTCGACGTTGATCGGTACCCGGACAACCTCCTCTCTCCCGTAAGGTCGCGGTCCCCTCTTCTTGTTGGAGGTCCTCCCTCGGCGGGCTTCGACAGCTGCGCCGTTGACTAGATGCGGTTGATGGGCCTGTGGCTACGCTCGTCGGCTTTTCGGCGGTCCGAGATGGGGCCGACACGGTATGTTTTCGCTTTTATCTGCCAGTTCTCTGGGTTGGGGACAGATGGGTTCCTCCGGCGGGGGGGTTTGTTTCTTCTTCGGTGGAAATGGGTCGGCTCTGTCGGTATTATGTTGGGGGAGGCGTTGGTCTTCGGTCCTGGTGCTGCTGTCTGGTAGTGTTGCAAGTGAAAGGGGGTTCGACTCCCTAGGTCCGGTTCTAGTTAGTCTTAGCCTTTCATGAATTGGGATTTTCTAGTTCTGCACTTATTGGGACCAAAGCCTTGCTTTTTTTTGGTGGTTGCTTCCAGGTGTAAGCTTCGTGTGTGGTTTTGGAGTAGCTTGCTGGCAGTGAGGAGGGCTTTAGTTATTATTATTGTAGTATATTTGTTTTGTTTTAGGTTTATGTTGTGTCTTTTTGTTTTCTGATTTTGGATCTCCCTTTGGGACTGCTTTGTCTCCATTCGGGGAGTGGTTTGGTCTCCTAGTAGGGGACTGTAGTGTCTATTTTGGTGTCTAGCGTGTGGCTCTTGGTGGATCCTTTTGTTTGAGTCGTCTTTCACCTTTGTGTTTGGTGTAAAATGCAAAGGTACTTTGTAACTCTCTCAGAGTTAATATTATTTCTATCGTTTTCCCAACAAAAAAAAAAAAACCTGAAACACAAGGTGGGAAAAAAAAATTATCAAAAATTCAGTGCCTATATTATATTCTCTTTTATATATAATAACTGTCGTTTTGAGAAGTTACATAATAATTAAGAATTTTTTTTTGTTAATAATAACTTTTTTAATGAAGATAAAAATGAATGTTTAAGAAATATGAAGAGTGAATCTAATTAATAATTGATAAAACAAAAATGACATTTAAAAAAGAATATGAGGTAATATATATTTGTATAGATAGATGGAGAAAGATAAAGGAAGACCAAAAAATAGTTATATGCGGTAGCGTTCTGCATTCTGAAGAATAAAAAGGTCTACAATTTCTGTGAATCAAATCCATTGCAGTCTGCAAAACCCTGTTCGATTCCCAAGTTCTACTTACCCTTACCCAAATCATAATCTATACATACAAACGTGTACAATATTGTGACATGAAACGAGGCTATCAAGAGTCCCCATCTTCGAGTTCGTATGGACCCCCTCGCTCCAAAATCAAGTCCAACCCTGAAGGTAGCTGCTTTAATCGTTATTCGTACGATTAGAGAATTAGGTTATGCGGATAATTGGCTTATTTTCTTGAACTGTTAGAAAGGGCTTTTAATTGGAGCTGCAAACTTTTTTTTTTTTTTTTTATATAATTTTAGTGGGATGAAAATATAGAACCTTTTATGTTGAAGATTGAAGTGATTGTCATTATTATAACCTATCAGGTGATGCCCAATTTTTGGAGGATGAGAGTACAAAGATCTTTGCAAAAAAAGTTGCCGATCATTACAGTGCAAGAACAAATCAGACGCTTGAAGAACGCGAAGCAAGCCCGATCATCCACCTGAAGAAACTCAATAATTGGGTACCCAATAAAATCATATTTTAGTATAGTTTGATATTTAGCAAGTATTCCGAGAGTAAGCTCAAAATCAAATATAATAAGTTAACTTCCTCCGAAGTCCTATGTCAAATAGAAACAAGAAAAAGTTTTATAGTTGTCTTTTTCCCGTTATCCGTTTTGCAGATAAAGAGTGTCTTAATTCAGTTATATGCCAAGAAAGGGGATGCAGCTCTTGATCTGGCTTGTGGGAAGGTACTCTATGAGCTGAATATTTTGAGATCCATTGTCATTGAAATCTGCTGTACTTAACTTATGTTGTAAAATTTGGTCATTTGGGTTGTCTCTCATTTGTTTCAGGGAGGTGATCTCATCAAATGGGACAAGGCGAGGATCGGTTATTATGTGGGCATCGATATTGCTGATGGATCAGTGAAGTCTTAATCTTCTTAACCTTCTTTAGTCAATCACCATCATTTTTAGCAATACTGGAGTTCAATGAATTAATCATTGTTGAACTGTACATCAGAGACAAGTAATACTAAATTGATTTATTTCGAAAGCACTTTGTTGACTTACATAAGTAAGAATTTTGAACTTAAAATGGGATTACAGTATCTAGATATTTTATTGACATGTTAATACTATAGAACTTGGATTAAACAGGATTAGTGCGATCTTTATAGGCTCGACTCCACATAAAATTTAATATAATGCATATCTACTTGCTGCTTATCATTCGGTTTAACAGAAGTTGCGTCGAATAAAACAAACCATACATAAGCCTGTACGTTATTAATATATTGTATTGTGTACTGGTTACATTCTTAATAATTCAGCAATAAATCCATAATTAATATTTACCCTTTAAAGATGTTAGTGAACATATCAATTCAAGTTAAGCCACTCAAAGCCTGTGTTTTCAGATACCCCACATGCTAGACGTGATTATGCTCATGATACTGTGATCTTTCACTTGAGTACATACTTTGTCCTTGTGAACACTCTCACGTAAAAATTTGAGGGCCTCCTGCTGTGTCTTTCTCCCGATATCTGTTGTGAATGGATCACGTTAATAAGAGTCTGAGTTATGCTTTAGTCGGAATGTTTAGCGAACTTTAAGCTTGCAAAAGTTGTTTTACCCTTGGCATTTTATTGTTATATGAGCTAGTTCTTTTTATTTGAACTGAGAATAATTTTACGTGTGGCAATGTTATTTATTATTGCTTGTCTGAAAGCTCGACATCAAATGTGTAGTGCCTCTTGTAAGATTATATCATACGTAGCCATCTCCTTAGATCAATAACAAACTGATGCCTTTTTCGGATATCAGATAGAAGACTGCCGCATACGTTATAATGGCGATGCAGACCATCACCAGCGTCGCAAAAAGTTCTCCTTTCCTGCCCGACTCATTTGTGGGGATTGTTTTGAGGTAAGTATCAATTAGAGCTAGTTTATGGATTTTCTTGTACCATTAGCAACAGTCTCTTTTGGCTTATTGGCAGTCTGATTCATATTGGAATATCCACTTATCAAGTGACGCATTTCTTTGTCTTTAAGTACTAGAAAAAAAGTTATTTTTTCTAATGATGCGTGTAGCTTGGCTTTGGGCTATGCAGTACTCTCTGAAATATCTGCCATGCTGTTTAGTAATTTGAGCATATGTGTGAATAATAAATTTATTTATTGCAGGTTCGACTAGATAAGGTTTTGGAAGAAGATGCCCCATTTGATGTTTGTAGCTGCCAGGTGAGTCATTTTGCAATTCACATAAGCAAGCATTTTTATTCCAACGACTGATTAAATCATTAAATGATCACCTATCCCTCAATCCCCGTAAGGTCATGTAATTTAGGCAGTTTTATGTTCAAATTTAGAACCACGGGCCAGTGGTAATAGAACAAGTTAAGACCATTCACTAGTTTTTTTTTTTTTTTTTTTTTTTTTTTTTTTTTAATCACATATTGCTCATACTTCCTCAGATGTAAAAATAATTTTTGTAAGGGGTTTTATCTAAAAGCTGGAGCAACTTTTCTGTAATAGGGTGATGCCGCATATGTGTTTATGGTTCCGAAGTCTGGCTGCTAGATTTTGAAATGGTTCATTTGGTGATTTATGATCTTTGTTGTAACCAAAATTTTGCAGTTTGCCATGCACTACTCATGGTCTACTGAGGCACGTGCTAGGCGGGCCTTGGCCAATGTATCAGCTTTACTTCGGCCTGGAGGCATCTTCATTGGAACAATGCCAGATGCCAATGTCATCATCAAAAAGCTTAGAGAAGGTTTTATTATGTATAATATTGTTTAAATGTCTGATTGTGGTTAATTAAAAGCTCAGAATTTGGTAGGTCTGTGTCGTGGATACACCGAATATCTGCTATTTTCAGTTATGTAGTATTGAAGTCACCTAATTGCTAAATCACGCTTGTGGATGATCTCTCATTTTTTATTGATATCATTCGATTTTTCATCTTATGGTTTATCCTCTTCCTTGATCTAATATTTAAATTCACATTATATTTTTTGCATCAAGTGGCTTAACCTTCAATGTTCTGTTTTTCAATCTGAAGTTGCTGGACATAATGCTTTATATCCATTTTGTTAGGTGTTATTTCCAGTTTATTAGGATCGACACTGTTGGTGATATTCTTTTCAGTTTCACTGTATTTATTCATTTGGAAGTGATTACATTCATGTATAACCACTCAAAATCCAGTTATCTGGCCACATTTATATGCATCTTTTATTAATTGGTTAAGGAGGCAGAGTTGTATTCCCCGGGGTCAGGTGTATGTGCACAGTTTACATAAATTATGGGGATATGGTGCTCTTATATACTGACCTATAATTGTCATTTCCATCACTTTTTTCAAGCCATTTTCTTATGCAACGGTGTTACATTTGAAATTTGGCCGTGTGGTGAGCATTTAACAAAATTGGTTTTGTTTTAAATAGAAGGGAACTTCCCTTGTTACATTTGAAATTTGGCCGTGTGGTGATGCATTTAACAAAATTGGTTTTGTTTTAAATAGAAGGGAACTTCCCTTTGTTATGCATAACTTTTTCTCTATTGGATGCAGCTGAAGGGCTAGAATTTGGCAATAGCGTGTACTGGATTCGTTTTGATGAAGAATTTCAAAACAAGGTGATTTTGATAAAGCTGGTTTCAGTTATCGTCACCTTGCCTGTAATGGCATTCTTTTTTTTTTTTTTTAATTTTATTTTTTGCCTTTAAACCATCTTTGGCTTCTTCCAGAAATTCAAATCTTCAAGTCCATTTGGCATCAAGTACAAATTCCATCTGGAGGTACATAACTTTTACTCTTTAGAATGGCATTCTATTCTTTTTTATTTCTTATGTGTTACTAGGAATTTTCTTTTCTTCTTGATCTGTATTCAACCATTCATCCGCGTTCATGCGTCCCAATATCTTCTTGTTCACATATGTTCTGGATATATCTGCACTAACTGGAGTTCTTACAACAGATTGCCTGATTTTGTTTCAAGTAGATTAATGTGGTAATAGTTGAGCATTCTCTTGTAGGATGCTGTTGATTGTCCCGAGTGGATAGTCCCTTTTCATGTATTCAAAACTCTGGCTGAAGAGGTATTTGAAGTTTTGCATTTTGGATTAAGCTATCAATTTTCTTGTATTTCTGGTTAAGCTGGTACAATTCCTTACAGAATTTTTTTGTTGCGAGTTTAATCAAAAGCTTTTTACCTTATGCCATTATGGTATCTATGCAGTATGGGTTGGAGTTGGTCTTTGTCAAAAATTCGCATGTATTTGTGAACGAGTACATGAAGAAACCCGAATTTGTTGAGCTCATGCGAAGACTGGGTGCTTTGGGTGATGGTAAAGAAGATCTAGGTAAGTCCGAGTGTTTATCTTTTTTCGTTCATATCCAAAACCGTTATTGCTATTTTTTGCCCGGTGGCCAGTTTTGATTGGTTTAACTTGCTTTCAGGTACACTGTCACCAGATGAATGGGAGGTGGCCTACTTATATCTGGCTTTTGTTTTGAGAAAGGTAGAATATTTCCTTTTAGCAAGTAATAAAAGTAGCTTTAATGGTTGGTTTATCAGGGTTTTTGAAATTGTATGTCTCGTACAGCGAGGGCAACCGGACGAAGTCAGACCTAATAGCAGAAGGGACAAGGGTAAGATGCAGCTGTCCAAGGAGGACATTATTTACATCAATGATCAAGAGTAACATACATCACCAATAACGAGATCCTCTGATTCATTGGTTGGAAGACCCAACAGATCAGAGGAGACGACGCTTGAGCAGCAATTCACTTGAGATCACAACATTACACCATACGTCCTTTGGATGTCTGTTCTTGCTTCGTCTGTTCGTGTCGTGTACTTAATTAGGCATAAACTGTTGATCAATTTTCGTGCGCCTAGTCGCCCGTGTTTCCACTCTTAACCATATAATTGTAGCCCCTTGATGTACCACCAGTGATCTTTAGATATTTCTTTATTGTTGTTGGTAATTTTAGCAAAGATAATTTACTTTCTCCCGAATGAATTGGTGAATTTTTATGATTAAATTTTTTAACTAAAAAAATGATCCTTTTGCGTATTTAGTTAGAATATCATGTTTAAAAGTTACGAGAGGATCATTATAATTTATAAGGTAAGTACACAAAATATATTTTAGAGATATTAAAGCAAATTAAATTAACAATTCATGGAGACATTAAGCAAAATTAGCAATTCATATATATTTTTTTTCTTTTCCATCCAAATACAATAGCAATTGTAATTTACAATACTATATTTTGATTGTTCAAATTCCTTGATACTTTATTTCATTTTTTCTATAGAAGATTCTTATTGACGAGTGACAAATTTAGACACAATCTTGTATAGAGATACATTGTCAAATGGGGGCAATACGAGTGCGGTCCCACACAGGTGAAGCGCACCATAAGAGGGTTATCCCAAATGAAACCCAAGTGAGGTTCCGTCCCCTCACTTGTGAGTCCTTCATCAACCCACGCCTCTAACTAGGCCGGGTAGGTTTTTTTTTTTTAGCAGGTCCCTAATTAGGCCCGCTGATACCATGTCAAACGGGGGCAATACGACACGCCCCCTCACTTGTGAGTCCTTCATCAACCCACGCCTCCAACTAGGCCTGGTAGCTTTTTTTTTTAGCAGGTCCCTAATTAGGCCCGCTCTGATACCATGTCAAACGGGGGCAATACGAGTACGGTCCCACACAGGTGAAGCGCACCATAAGAGGGTTAGCCCAAATGAAGCCCAAGTGAGGTTCCATCCCAAAACCAATTGGTAGTAGGAGGAGTAGCCCACTAGGCTTATAAATTAGGCCTCTTTACCCTATCAAATCAATGTGGGACAACTCATAAGTGACATTCCAACATACATAGAATAACCAAAATATATAAAAAATATTTAAAAAATACATTTTCAATAAGTTTGTAAAATCTAAAAAATATATAACAGATGTTATGCACAAAAACTAAATATTTAAAATACTCAGGTCATGGGCGCACAGCGATTAGTCAGCTTGTGTATAATATATAACTGTGTACATTTTATCATTATTTTTATAGTGTAGTAACATTTCTCCAAATAAAAGTTCCATAATCAATATCCTATTTAGAGTTTACCATAACAATACTAACTTAAGTAAAAATAATAACTACAAAAAATTAATTAATAATTAAATGTCTAAAGCAAGGAAGCCCAAATTACAAACACAAACTACAAATTCATCAAATATATCCAATCTAATATTACCACAATAATAAATTGTAATTATATTTTATTTTTTAATTTTATATTTTAATCTGTCAATTTTTTTTTTTATTTTTTTTTTATATATTTTAATCCGTCTTGTAAACATTAAAGTGTTAAATTTATTCTATAACGTTTTTGCATTTATTTTGTAAATTATAAATTTATAATAATAATAATAAAATATATCTATTTTTTTTTCATGGGGATTTTTATTTTGATTAAAAGTTTAAAAGCTTGGGCAAGAGTTAGAAGATACATGTTTGGGCGGGTGTTTTCCAAAGCTCAAATCAAACAACCATAGACACAGAACGAAAGAACAAACCAACATGTAAAACCGAACCATTGTCATAGCCGGTTCTGATTGAACCGGTCGAACCAACAAATATTGTCCGATTTTCCAAACCAGGGTTTATTCCACACAAAATTACTAGAAAATCTAGAAGATGGTTTCTAATTGTACTTTCATGATGTAGAACATGAGGTTTCTAATTGTTCGCAGGCTTGCCCTAGGCTTACAACGTCAGAGGCGCACTGGAGTCGAGCAGGGATAAGTAAACATGAGAAGAGAACTAACACAAAAGTTAGACTATAAAGTCAATTAATAATATGAGGTTGAAGACCACAAGTAAACATGAGAATAATACTGGATTCGTTTTGATGAAGACTTTTTTCAAAGCAAGGTGATTTTGTGATAAAGCTGGTTTCAGTTATCGCCACCTTGCCTGTAATGGCATTCGCTTTTTTTTTTTTTTTTTTT